ATCACAAACAGCTTTTCTACGAGCTGAGGGCAATACTTATATATAGAAGGTGCACAGTGTCATTCACACAAACACTAAACCCCAGCATGGTGACACTCATGATACTGAAATAATGCAATAAACATTCATTTAACAACATTAGATGTAAGATTAAACGCTAATGTACACATCTAATAAGAAAAAAAAAACTCAGAAGAAACATGTTATTTCAACAAAAAAAACATCAAATATGAAGTGTCATGCAGGGAATTCTGGGAGTGTCAATTTATGGTTTGTCACTGTAAATTATAAAAATCTTTGTATATCGACTTTTTTTTTCACTTCCAAAAAACTTATTTTACTGTAAAATTACATTAAATGTAATTACATTTATTCACCGAATATAGTATGAAAACTTATTGTTAACCAGTTAACAGGTTTTTACTGTAGCATTTTTACAGTCTTTTACTGTTAAAATCACAATATTTTTTTTACAGTGTACAAAAATGCAAATTTGTGAAAATGGTGATTTGCACGTGTATTATGAGTTCAGTCTATAGGCAAGTAGTGTTTCGCCATCTACTGGACTGTCAGTATTTTTAGTCGTTTTCACGGATCCATGTGAACATGGATCGTTGGAGTTTCTACAGAAACTTAAAAATAAAAAGCATTTAACCAAACATTAAAAAAGGGCTCCTTGGTATATAAAAGGGTTCCCAACCTCTGCTCTGTACAGTATACTATAAAATGTCAAGAACTTGCAGTTCTATTGCTTGTAGAGTGCTTCTTTGTTCCTCATTTTAATACTGAAATGCTTTTTTTTATTTTTTAAGAAATGTTAATATAATTTACAAATATTTAGGCAACATGTTTTATTATTTAAATGACTAATAATGAATATCAAATTAGTTGTTGCTGTGCTGGTGTTGAAATTGGTGTGGAGGTGAAATTTGACCGGTCCATCAATTTCTGTAAGTGTTGTGAGTTTCAGCTGATGCTTTTCTCTCATTTTCCACTGCCTCTTCGCTGTCCCTTTCAATGAAAGTATCAGTGTAATAAATGATATTATATTGAAGTTTCACTTGCAGCCTCAGTCTGATTAAAGGACGTCCCATCAGTAGTGTTCAACAGTATGTCGCAGTCTCATACAGTGAGGACTCATGGGTCTCAAGAGCATCATTCTGATTCACCTGTAAAAATATACAGATTCACTGACAGTAAAGAAGAAGAGAAGAACATATATATATATATATATATATATACACACTGCCGTTCAAAAGTTTGGGATCAGTAAGACTTGTAATGTTTTTTAAAGAAGCCTCTTATGCTCTTAATAGCATGGTCACTGCTATTATTATATATATATATATATATAACATACATATATACATATATATATATATATATTAAAAATATCGCGATATCCGATAATATCGTCTACGTAAGCCCCACCTCCACCACGCCCCACCCCCGCCGAGACAACATTGCCGACATGCACCATAAACACACATTATGTTCAGTTTGGTCTTAATTATTGCTACAAAGTTTGGTTTTATTTTTCTTAGTTTTTGCTTAAACTAACAGAAAACATTAGCTTTTATTTTGGTGTTGCTAATAATTTCCACTCTGTTCTTATCAAATTTGTGTTTGAAATGAATTTCGTTTTGTGAGGAGAACTGTTGAGGAAAAATAATAGAACCAAATTTTAAGTTCATCATGGTGAAGTTGGACATTCTGGTGGTGACTGTAATGATAAATGCATGTTGATGTCATATAATAATGTCTTGAATAAAATATGCCTATTTTCCGATGTTTCTTTCTTTTTGGCATTATCGCCTGTGACAACCATTATTGCAACCATGGGCGACATTTGACTCTTGAGTCAGGGAAAGAAAGAAAGAAAGAAAGAAAGAAAGAAAAATTTCCGGATGCATCAAAACAATGCCCTACTGTATTGCAATGCATCAAAGCAGTCAATCCAACACAGTCAAGAATAACTTAAAGACATTGGCACTGTTTAGTAAACTGCGGACTAGCTTTGGCTCTTCCTGCTGACTTGAATGGTGATGCTTCTCATTTGTCAGTTGATGGCCTTTCATTTTTAACCAGAAATGTGCACGCTGCTTTTCTGTTCACTGAAGTTTTCCGTGTCTTTTCCCCATGTCACTTGAAATGTTTCAATTTTGAATCGTTGTTACCAAAGGCGAGACACGTGAGGAAAAAATTAATGATCAGTTGTGGGACTATATTCTGTCATAAATCGCATACTATTCATTGCTGAACATTCTACCGTCCGTTACAGAAATGAAATGAAATTACTGGTTGATATGTCCCGATCTCAATAAAGTTTACACACGGTTTTGGTCCATGAATTAGATCTCGCTCGGGACGTGCGCTGTCTGTGGAGGTTTGGCCAGGACCGGTTCCAGAATTAAATCAACATATTTTATGTTCCGTCCATTGCCAATCACTGCTATTTCGAGAGTGAATCCCGCATAAATATGCAGATGTCATTCCAGAAATTTTGCAGGGTGTAGCCGAAAAACTAAAGTTTCATACAAATTCTGAATGGATTATACCCTAGAAAGTTCGCAAAGCTCGCTCCCTTTATCATTAAAAAGTGTCACTCATCTTCGTTCATCGCGATCTTACAAAGTTCCGTTAAAATCGGTGAAGCTCTCTAAACTGCACAATGAATCTCTTATTTACATCGCGTCTGCACTTAGTCATGAGATGATTCACGAGCATGCAAAACTGCACTTAAAAACTGCGGCTCGTTCAGCGGTGAGTGAATTCTGACAAAACGTTTCTGATTGGCCATTGCGTTTAAGAAATCAACAGATATGTCTGTGATTGGTTACATTGCTCAACGCTGCAAAAACACGTTGAGGGTATTTAGCGCTTGGCTAAGCAATCCAATTGCAGCTGGGCCAACATCAGGGATTCCATGACTAACAATTTGTCGCCCATGACTGCAACCCTCCACTCATTTGGGCTTTATGGCACAGTGGCTAGACGTAAGCCTCTCCCGCATGGAGTTTGCAAAAAAGCACCTGAAAGACTCTCAGACTGTGAGGAATTAGATTCTCTGGTCTGACGAAACCAAGATTTAACTGTTTGGCCTCAATTCTAAACATTAGGTCTGGAGGAAACCAGGCACCGCTCATCACCTGCAAAACACCATCCCAACAGTGAAGCATAGTGGTGGCAGCATCATGCTGTGGGGGTGTTTTTCAGCAGCAGGAACTGGGAGACTGGTCAGGGTTGAGGGAAAGCTGAATGGAGCAAAGTACAGAGATATCCTCAATGAAAACATGTTCCACAGCACTCAGGACCTTAGACTGGGCCAAAGGTTCACTTTTCAACAATGACCCTAAGCACACAGCCAAGACAACACAACTCTGGGAATGTCCTAGAGTGGCACAGCCAGAGCCCTGACTTGAACCCTATCGAACATCTTTGGAGAGACCTGAAGCTAGCTGTCCACCAACGGCCCCCATCCAACCTGACCGAGCTTGAGAGGATTTGAAAAGAAGAATGTCAGAAAATCCCCCAATCCAGGTGTGCAAAGCTTGTTGTGTCATACCCAAAAAGACTTGAGGCTGTAATTGCTGCCCAAGGTGCTTCAACTAAGTACCGAGTAAAGGGTATAAATACTAATGTAAATATATTTCAGTTTTTTTCATTTTAATAAGTTTACAGACATTTCTAAAATTCTGTTTTCACTTTGTCATTATGGTATACCGAGTATAGATTAATGAGAAAAAAAGATTGCGTGTCTTTGGTAAATCCAGACAGTAGTTCTTTAATGCCAAAAGAAAGTTTGTGGTGGCGCAATCTGTTAGTAAGACTTTGTGGCACCTAGGTGGAGAACTAGAAGATATAGGAATACTTTTGTACCTGCAGCGATAGAATTATCAAATAAAAATAGTAACAGATGACATTCATTGCTAGCGTTGGCACTTTTGTTTTAGGGGCGGGAGTATGTGTGTGAAGGTACATTGTCATAACTTTTCTTGGAGTTTTATATTTTTCTGATTTAAATACTTTTTATAGTGTTTTATAGTATGTTAAAGTTTCTATGGAATTGTTTTTAGTTATGGACTGCTGAACTTCTTGTCTGCACAACAAATTTACCTTTGGGTACTAATAAAGATACCTTGACCTAAACCCGGCCCTAAATATGATCAGATTCCATTTGAGATATGTACAAAAATTGGACTTGAACTGACAGTCTGAATGAGGCTATAGTATCTTACCTGACCACTGTTCTGCATCCTGCTGTCTGTTTGAACAATAAAAAACTCAATTAAACACAGATCACTTTGGTTAATTAGAATAAAAATACCCATTTTCGCATCTTTCAAATATTCTTTACACACAATCTCCATCTTGTTAAATCAGCTGTATGTAATACTCACCTTCTCTTCTCGCTCGACGCTTGCGATAGTAAATCACAACAACAGCAGCAGATGCAGCCAAAAGCAGAAAGACAGCAACAGCTATTCCTGCTGCAACAGCTGAAGACTGACCTGAATCTGGAACAACTAAAGAGAAACGGTCATTATGAATAGAGAGTGACTGATAACCAATTATACCGATATCTTTGTCTGATATTTACACCTTTATACTTTAGTCATCTTTTGTATGACATTGATTTAACTAATAATAATAGCAGCATCTTTAAAAAATAAATAAATAAATAAATAAATAACAGCAGTTAAAACAGCATCACAGCACTTTGCACTGAAAAACAAATGTTCATAGAAAAACGAATTTTATGCATTTTTCATGTTAATAACATTAGACTTTTTTAAGACTAGTCTAAGCAGTTTATGCAACTGGCCTCTGAATTATAGTTTAATACTGAGTGAAAAGGTCAGGCATTTACTTACTGGATAATATTATATATAGGAGCAAGTACAGGGGGCTGTTTCATAAAACAAGTTTACCAAATAAGCCAGGCTTATTTCAGTTAGTCGGACTTATTTTCACTTGATTTGGTTTGGTTTCATAAACCAAAATTACCATAGCTCAGGCTCAGTCACTGTGGCAACTTATGCTGGGAAACTAACCTGGTCCGGAGCAGGCTAACTGTCAGGCTAAGCTGAGCTCCTCTAACACTGACCAATAGAAATGCATTAGTTATTAAAATTCTACATTAATGTCCAACAACAAATATTTTAGCAGAATGCATATTTTACTCAGAATTATTGCACTATTATTCTATTACGTTCCATCTGTTAAGCGTGCATGCGTGCAGCGGCGCTCGTTCACTCGCGTAAGCCTCGCCCACTCCTGACAGCAAAATGGATATATTTGCATGACTTTCTAACATTTACAGATGAAAAATATACCTGTGATGTGTCAGTTATGCACCGAGGAAAACACAATGTCTCAAATTATTTAAACAGCACAAATATATTCACTGTTTGCCATGGTGGATCGATTTGATCCATGATCGACATTAAGGGCTACTTAAGAATAAGCTGCACATCAAATTATCCTGACTCATTAAACCTGGATCGAATTAGTGAGATTGTGTGAACTTAAATAGTCGTTTATAAAACCGCTTTAGTTCCGATTGATTTGTTAGGTTATTTTTAAGTCAGGTTTTGGACTTTAATCCCCTCTTTTCTTAGCGTCTTTTATGAAACAGCCCCCAGGTCTCTGCAGGAAAGTAATGGGAGTTACCAGATCAGTGGGCAAGGGCAAAACAGAGGGGCATTTGACCATCTTACCTGATTGGCTCATGTCACAGTGACGGTTATGTTTAGGGGTGGGGAAAACAAAAGATCTTCTTTGACCATATTAGCCTACTCAATAGCATTAACACAGGCTTTACTCCCTTCAAACTTTATCTGCAATGTCACCGTTTCACTGCACCTTCCCGAACAGGCGAACACACACACACAAATGAAATAGTTTGCCTGATGAATTTTTTTTAAACATGTTCATATTTTAGAAAATGTAGTCAATAGTTGCATAATTATCTCATCCAACCGGGCCGTGACCCACCTGCAAATAATCAGAATGCATTTTTTTTATTACCCGACCCGTGGATTATCCGTGAAAACATTTTTGCCCCCTTCCTGTTTTTTTTTTGGGTTTTTTTGCATATTTGTCACACTTAAAACATTCAGATCATCAAACACACACACACACAGAGAAATGACTAAAATTCACTGGGGAGTCGGGACTCTGAGTAGGGGTAACTTTTAGATGACCTTTCAAATTTATTTATTTATAAAAACCAATTCAAATTTATTTAATTAAGAAAGACCAATTCAACCCCCACAGCAAATCAGGTTTATTGGCAAAATCTAATGACTTTCAGCTGTTTGCAAACAAAAGTAATTGAGTAATTGTGGGCAGTGGTGGCCTAATGGTTAGAGTCGGACTTGTAACCCAAAGGTTGCGGGTTCAAGTCTCGGTACCGCTATCAATGGCTGCAACCAGATTTCTAAAAAGGCAGTTCAGAAAAACCCTTGAATGACTGCAAAAGACCTGCAGCAAGACTTGGTTGCAACAGGCACTGAGGTTTTAGTTTCATTTATTAAGAGAAAAAAGATGTCCAAACCTGCCTGGTCCTACGTGAAAAAGTAATTGCCCCCTAAATCTAATTGGTTGTGCCACCCTTGGCAGTAACAACTGCAATCAAGCGTTTGCGATAATTGGCAACGAGTCTTTAACATCACTGTGGAGGAATTTTGGCCCACTCTTCTTTGCAGAGTTGTTTTAATTCAGCCACATTGGAGGGTTTTCGAGCATGAAAGGACTGTTTAAGGTCATGCCACAGCATCTCAATCAGATTTAAGTCTAGACTTTGACTTGGACACTCCAAAACCTTCATTTTGTTTTTCTTGAGCCATTCAGAGGTGAATTTGCTGGTGTGTTTGGGATCATTGTCCTGCTACATAACCCAAGTGCGCTTGAGCTTGAGGTCACAGACTGATACATGTCAACTATTTTGTTTCTCATCTGGTTCTTGAATTTCTTTAGATCGCGGTATGTTGTGTTGCTCTTTAAGCATGCTTCACTTTGTCAGACAGGTTCTATTTAAGTGATTTCTTGATTCAACAGGTCTGGCAGTATTCAGGCCTGGATGTGGCTAGTGAAATTAACTCAGCTTTCAAAAATAATGTGGTTAATCACAGTTATTTTATGTTTTAACAGGAGGGGGCAATTGATTTTTCACGTAGGGCCAGGTCGGTTTGGACAGCTTTTTCCCCTTAATAAATGAAATCATCATTTAAAAACTGCTTTTTGTTTTTACTTGCATTATCTTTGTGTAATATTAAAATTAGTTGGTTGCGGGTTCAAGTCTCGGTACCGCTATCAATGGCTGCAACCAGATTTCTAAAAAGGCAGTTCAGAAAAACCCTTGAATGACTGCAAAAGACCTGCAGCAAGACTTGGTTGCAACAGGCACTGAGGTTTTAGTTTAAGGCACTTACTAAATGCAGACAGTTTCCATGCCAGAACTGCAAGATGTAAACCACTACTGACCCAAAAGCACAAGAAAAGTCGCCTTCAAATTTGCTCAAAATCATATAAATAAGCCACAGAAGTTTTGTGATTCTGTTCTGTGGAGCAACAAAGCTGGAACTTTTCAGCCCTAGGAGTCAGCGGTATGTCTGGATGAAGAAGAATGAAGCATACGCTGAAAATAACTTTCTGCCTATGGTTAAGCATGGTGGTGGCTTGGTGATGCTCTGGGGCTGGTGTGGAAGGTAAGATGGATTTATTGAAGTATCAGGAAATCCTAGGAGAAAATGTCATGCCGCCTGCGAGGAAGCTGAAGTTTGGGCATCATTGGACCTTCCAACACAACAATGATCCCAAGCATGCTTCAAATTCCACCAAGGCTTGATTGCAGAAGAAGTCCTGGAAGATTCAGCATGTAAACCCAAGAATATTACTGAACTGGAGGCCATTGCTCATGAGGAATGGGCGAAGATTCCCCAGCAACGCTCCCAGAAGCTGGTGTCTGGCTATGTATCTCTTTTGCAGCAGGTCATAACAGCAATAGGGAACTCTACTAAGTACAAATGATGCTTGCCAATAATAATTGTGTGACTGCAGAAGTCATTAAAAGTTGCATTTTCAGTCCATGAAAACACTTGAAACATTCGCAGTGATGAGCTATTTCAATTACTTTTGTTTGATTTGTTCATAACAAACAGCTTAAAAGTCTATCTATCTATATGTGTGTGTGTGTGTGTGTGCGTTTTCAAATTGCACAAGGGAACTAAATTATACTCACTAACAGCAATGTTAACACCAAAGCTCTTCACACTGAAAGCACTGTTGCTGCGATGAAGGCTTCTGCTGATCTGTAGTGTATAAACTCCAGCGTCTGTGGTTCTGGTGTTTGTGATGGTCAGAGATCCAGTCTGATGATCCAGCTTCAGTCTGTCTCTGAATCTCTCTTTGCACTGATCATCTGTACAGATCTTACTCAGATATCCAATGATTTCAGCAATGAGAATGTCTTTATAATACCATCTCATCACCTCATTTGGTTGTCTTACTAGACCAGGATCTAAAGTGACAGTTTCTCCCTCCTTCACTGACTTTTCATCTTGTTCAGAAGCAGAAACACCTGAAACACAAACCAACAGCTGCTGAAGGATTTTTTTGGGGGAAAAAACCCAAAACAATGTGAAAGCACTGTGTATATGAAAACAATGTATCATGCTGTTTGCAGCACTTATTTGTTTTGCACACATTTTACAAACTTTTTTAAAATTAAATACTTAAACAGTAAATGTGTTTTCAAATAGATTTGAGTATATACGGCATTAAAATACATCAAGAGAAAAGAACTACTCTGAATGTTACTGCAAAAAAAAAAAAAAAAACTATTTAATCTGCTTTTAAACATTTATTCAGTGACTCACCGTAAACAGTAACACTGAAGGTCTTTTCACTGATGCTGAAACTGCTGATGATCTTTAGTTCATAGAGTCCAGAGTCTGTGGTTCTGGTGTTCATGATGGTCAGAGATCCAGTCTGATGATCCAGCTTCAGTCTGTCTCTGAATCTCTCAGTACCTTCATTACACTGAACATCTGTACAGATATCACTGAGATCTCCACTGATTTCAGCTATTCGAATGTCATTAAAATACCATTTAATATCTTCTTGTTGGTTTGTTTCAACATCAGTGTGTAGAGTGACTGGATCTCCCTCCTTCACTGATACTTCGACAATATCAACACCAAAAAAACCTGAAAAAGAAATGAAAAGTTCATTATGGACCAAACAAAAATAAACAACAGGTAAGAGCTGTGAAAATGTTTTTCTCCAGATCGTACAGATTATAGGTAGAGAAACCTGTCTGAATTCAAAATATTCATGCAAATACAGTAGCCTACACAAGTCTCATGAATAATCTTCAGCAAATTAATGAATATTATACAAACCAAAATTGTGCTTTTAATTACAAAATATTGTTTTTAAGTATCCTTACGAAAATTAACCATGGTTTTACCACGAGAAGAAAAAAAAACCACCTGGTTATTGTAGTTATACCGTACTCACAAATTAACCATGGTTTTGCTACAAAAATCATTAACTATGGTATTTGTGTGGTTATACAAATTGTAATCAATACTCCAAAAAACATGGTTTTAATAAAATAAAACCATGATTAATTTTCGTAAGACTACTTTGAATAGGCTACACGTGAGATGTATATTTGAAGAGTTCCAATGCAAACGTCTCTAAAAGCCATCTTGGTCAAAAATGAGATAACAATACTGAGTGAATGCTCTCCACACACAAACATAGTATATGTTTATCAAGTACTTTCACTTCAAATACGCTAAATCCCAGCCTCAACCCATTCAGAAGTACCAGTACTTACATAGAAACATATACATAGTAGCCAGAAAGAAATGCTAATTTTAAAGAAAAACGTCAGCTGTACTTAGAGGCTTTTGCATCTGAACTCTTCATTTATAGTTTGTTAGAAGGTTTCAACCAAAGCTCACATTACCAGCAAGGTAGGCAACATTTGATCCGTTTTTAAACTAACGTAACGTTAAAATATATATAAACATTTACTCACAGTAATGCCATGTTATTTTTAGATAAAGTTGGACAAATTTTACTTGGACAGTCTATCATATTCATTGCCTAACCTGACTTCTCACAAAAGTTGAGCAAAATATGAAACTGTAGCAAAGCAACTAGAGCTGAAAAACAAACAGAACACTTTTCGTTTTTATCGTTAGCAGGCAGATAACAAACAAATGTCTAACCATGGTGGAATAAAACCAAAAAGAAAAATAACAAAATCGCCATTCCACTATCGCCATAAAAAATTATAAAATAAAATAAAAAAAAGAAAGAAATGCATATCCCTTTGTACGGTCTCTTCTTCTTCTTCTTCTTCTTGTTCAATGGCCGTTGTTGTGTAATATTCAGTTCCTGTGAAAAACTGTTCCAGTGGGTGGAGTTTACGTGATTATTCATTAGTTCCCCTAGTGTGGGCGTGTCTTCGAGACAACGCGCAAATGAATGGAACTGAAAATATTAGGGAACGCTCCTCAAATCGCTACGTGTTTAATGGATTATTTCGAAAAGGTAATGAAGTAGGCCTATCAATGTTCAAGAGATAACGATTTTGGGTTTTCGTAATATTTAAAAAAAAAAAAATGCTTTAAGGATAAAACTGTGGATCACATTAGTGGAGTTAAAAATATAAGAACTTAAATCAACCCCAAATGTATTGGCTATACTACAATCACACAAAAAAAGGGCAGCTGTTTCTTCAACAAGACCACAAAATGGGCAAGTTTCATCATTATCAAGATACTTACAGATAGATGAATTAAACCTGTCATATCTTTTAAGTTGTTGCGCTTGCTATAACGTCGTAGGTCACAT